CCCCAAAACCCCAAAACCCCAAAACCCCAAAACCCCAAAACCCCTATTTTTTTACAAAATTTGAAACTTTAGGAAGAACTCAAAATATTTTAGGAAGAAATAGAGGTTTTTTGGGGTTTGGATAGGGGGTTTTGGGGGTTGAAGGAGGGGTTTGGGCGAGAGGGTTTGATGAAAGAAAGAGGAGTTTTGGGGCAAGCAGAGAGAAGTGAGTAGAGGTATGGGGTGAGAGATATGCGGAATAGAATTTCTTATGTGAAATAATTTATAAAAAACATGTTATAAGATCGTTTTTTGGAAGAGTGAAATTTTAAATTTTGTCTAAAAAATAGTAATTCCTGTTGAGGTGTTCAGGAATTTATTAGAAATTAAGAAATGATTATAAGTAATCTTTTTAAAAGAAATTTTTTCTATTTTCAAAAGCTTTTCTTCCAAAATCATCATGTGTATTAAGTTAAAACTAGTATTTTTTATCTATTGCCATATGCATAACAAATCGGCAAATTTTACTTGGTATTTCTTAAATCTTGGTTGTTTTATAGTGGAGTTTTAACTTGAATTTCAACCTATAGAATTCAAGATTTGGCTATTTTGTAGGAAAACATTACTATGAAGTAAGCAACTGCACAGAGCTCTATAAAGGCAAGAAAATAGAGAAAAATTCTTGGTTCAAGGAGCAACATTGAGGACAAGTAGCTTGATGGACTGTAGTATAATATTTTCGTTTTTAGAGTAAAGGAAGGATGGTATAGAATATAAATCAGATAGTTCATTAATGGAAACTATGTCAACCTTAGCTTCAAGCTGTACGATATTCTGAATCTTTTAGACTTGACCATCACCATTGATAATAGATTTCAAATGCTACTGAAATGGAAGATGTAAGAATCGAGAAGTATATAATCAATCAGAAATTTGGCAGAGTTATGTAATATACAAAGGACTTTATAAACTTCCATACCAACCGATTAAAAATTTGATCTGAATAAAAATAAAAATTTATTGAACTTTACTTGATATAGCAATACTATCTCTATCTATTATTACTACTAAATCCTTTTCCTCTCTATTATACCAAAAACACTACACCACCCTCCCAGCACCACTAAACATCCACCCCCTAATTTCCCAGTCCCAAATCCCCTTCCACAAATTCCTTTAAATTATTCCCAACTGGTACTTCCATGGGCGCTGTCCTAACCACACACAAGGCCAGCGACAGTCATTCACAAAAAAACTATACTCGCACTGTGCATCTTCTATGCGCTTATGGGAAGGGTAAGGGCCTAGCCAAATTCAATAAAACTCATACTTTTGTTTCTTTCATAATACTTGTTGACACCCTACGTCCTTATCTCATTTAGGTCATGCGTTTGCAGTAAGCATCTGATTCAGATACGACTTCAAGTCAAGCTCTTTGATCAGTCCAGTAACTCCTTCTTGCATCCTTCTAAGGTATGATGTCTGCACTTTCTCTCTCCACTGAAACCCTCACTTGTGTCACTCCAAGTTGTCTGCTCAGGCCTTCAACTCGATCGAGCCAGCGAAGTCTCAGCCTTTGCTCGGACACCTCCGCATGTCCTCAGTCGTTAAGATGTAAATATCAGTGTAGGTCTGGTTGATGCTCTCGAACAGTCTGGGACCAACAAGCTGTATCAGGTCTTGGTCAGTTAACTTGTGTTTACATTCACTATTAGGTCAAGGCAATTCATGGTCTTGTGCGAACTTGTCTGAAGAGAGTTTGCTTGTGGCCCAGTCAGTAAGTCACTGTTTACACACATACGTTTTCTGCTTGTGATCTTCACCTTGATAAGCCCCACATTGGATAGGCTTCTTAACTTTGTTGGCATATCAAATGACTCAGAATTCCAGCATTAAGGTTTTTAATAAATTCTATATCAAATTAATTTGTGGGGTTTTGGGGTTTTGGGGTTTTGGGGTTTTGGGG